TGAAGTGATCTGTGAAAGCTCAAGGTGAGAAAGATATTGTGAATGACAGCAAATCTAATGGAGCGTGTGGCAACTATGAAAGAAAATGTCCTCAGAGAAAGGTCTGAGAGTTGTTTGCCAGTACTGTATTTCTGCTTGTCCTTTGGGATGCCTGTCTCTGGCCTTCTCTAAGGTCAAGAAGCCAGTCAGAGTGGCTGCTCATATCAATTCATACTGCTACTTTATAATTTGTACTGCATATTTTTACATTGTTACTGTGGTATGAAGGATACACAAAAGAAATGCTTTGAAATGCTTAGTGAAATAGTCTTAGTGCTTCTTATTTCATGCAGCTTTAGCCCAAGAGGAGCTGGGTCATCAACCAAAGCACAGGTTACAGACTGCAGACGTTCCCTGTTGGGACCAGAGATGCCTCTTTGCTCTGCCCAGATTTACAGCCCCATTTGCAAGGCTCTCCCTATTGCCCTGCCGCAGCCCGCAAAGCCGCTGTGGTCGTGCTCTTCCTCACAGCAGGAAAACATGACCAGACAGGGAAAGGGCTGAGTCAGCTCTGCTGGCATGTTGCTGCCTTCACAGCAACACTGGGGAAGGTCTTCCAGCATCCCACAGCTACCATCGTGTATTTGTTTTGTAATCAGAGCTCCCAGCGTGCGGCCTGAGGAGCGGTACAGCATCCCAGCTGGCCAGGGTCACGGCTGAGGAGAGGACTTGGCAGCCGACGGGGAGACAGACAGCACGCACAAGTGTGAGCACACCCAGCCCAGGCCACCCAGACCTAGGCAGCCCTTGGTGAGGGGCTCTGCTGCCCGCAGGGCTGCCTGCATGGCACAAGCAGGGGCTGGCTGCACTGCCCAGCAGGAACAATTGCCCCCAGCATCCTGATTTTGGAAGGGGAAACTAAGCTCTGATCCTCTGAGCCCCAAAGAGCATTTGTCACTACTAAGACATGGTAACAGAAACATTTTGTGGGTCAAGGTTCTCTTTTTCAGATTAAATTGCATTCACTGGCCTATTTAAAATTAGTATTAATAGAAAATTGAATGTTTTGTTTATAACCAAGCACTTGTCCTCCCCACCCAACACATTAACATTCCATTAAAAAAAAAAAAAAAAAAAAAAAAGCCCAAAGCATTTTCTAAAACCACAAATATATAACAAAAACTGTAAAAGGTACACACACCGTAGGGCCAAAACCTATTCAGCTCCCAGCTTGGTGAGTCTTCTTGCTCTCCAAAAGCCATCTGACACTTGGTTTCTCTATCTGGGACCTCTTTGAAGTTAACTGTTTGGAGCCCACTTGCTGACAATGCAATCCTCTTTGTCTTGTTTCTCCTACTTATCCAAAGTAAGTAGTGACAGGGGAAAAAAATGAAAAAAACATACCTCAACTGTTTTTTTGATTCCCTTCTGAAAAGAAGTGTTCTTCTTTGTCTCAGGGCTCACTAGCTGACTTTAAAATTGTTAGAAAAGTCACCTCTTTTATTCAAATAAATTGTTGTGTTTTGTACATATTTCATTTCTGACTCAAGTTATTCCTCACTATTTAAGAGTGCAGTCTAACAAACTCATCCTCCTTTTCTTCCAGAAGAAAAAGGAGTCATTGAGGATTCTTACTTGTTTTGACAAAAGAAAAATAATCTGAAAATCTTCCATTTCAAAAGGATCATCTTTGAACATTCTCTCCAATTTCTGTTCTGGCAAGCTATCATTTTCTTATTTTCTACATAGTTAACTAATTTTGTTTTATACGCTTCAGTAGTATCAGATATCTCTTTTCTCTAATTTCATAGAGAATTTCACATCATTTTGCTCTATTCCTCACCTTTTTCTTTTAAATGGTCAAGAGAAATGGTCAGCATCTCTAGTCTTAGAAAATACTTCTATTTCATATGAAGAATGTGGGAGAATACATTCCTTTTTCTCTAGAAACATACCTGATTTCCCCACCTGCCTTTTGTTTAATTTTAAAATCTATTATTATTGAGTGATCCATATTTACCCTCTCCTGCAGCATCATAATGCGCAAAGTAATCCAGTAACTGAGCAGCCCTAGGAAAATGTGGATGATGCATATATCCACAGAAAGAAAATGTAAAAAAGCAAGCAAACTTCTTTATACAGTAATAATAAACTCTAGAGCAACATAAGGAGTAATTTAATGTGATATGTCTTTATGCTTCCTAATTCTAATTCAGCAAAGTACTTGAATACTTTTGCGCTTTACTTATTTGAGAAATCATGGTTCTACTACATTAACGTTCTCATGCACGGTTCTACTGTGTTGCAAAGAATGCATTATCAACAACATGATGGATAGGCAAAAATTCAGTTGCATGTATTGTAACACTCACCGTATTGCAACACTCACTTTTCTATTTACTTTTTTATTTTATTATTACAATGTTTATGGCATGTAAATTATTTCAATACCTACAATTGCAACATTTAAATTTGTTGAGTTTTGCCTTAACACTTAGTAGTGAATTTGTCTTAATTGGAGTTGGTTCAGCTGTTAATTGGAGAAAAAAATGCAGCCCTGTAACTGTGCTGTTCTGTGAGCTAACACATTCTGTTGATAAATCAAGAATCCTTTGCCACAAAAGAGTCATTATGAACAGAGAACAAACTCTTAATCCCACACCTTGTATTAATATGAACAAACCCAATAAAAATAATCTAGTGGAAGAGGGGTGTCTGTTGACACAACCTTAATCCACAATTTAAAGTTTCTATCATACCTGTCTTGTGTTGAATGCATCTTGAAACATCTGAAACAAATGTTGAAAACATTCATGAGCCTGTTCTCATCTTTTTTCCAAAACACTAACTTCAATGCCGTATGAAACAAACCTTATAAAAGATTGCAAGTCAGTTTAAACTCTGTTCAGGGCTTACTTAAATTACATGGGTCAAAAATCACCTAAACTTTGTTCACATCAAATTATTTCTTTACTTTTTTTATTTATTTGCTTTGGTTAAATGAAGAAAGATGTCAGTACTCTCCCAAAAATAAAACAAAAACAAGGAATATTAATAGTCAGATAATAGGTCATATTCCCCTTTATGAACATTATGAGCATTAATACTTCCAAAAATACAGATCCACGGTGTAAATAATAATAATAAAAAAAGGCATTAGAAAACTCTTATTCTACTTTCTGTTGGTTCAACACATAAACCCGTAATCAAGCATCACTACCAACTTTATGTGGTGCAGGCTCACCTTGAGTTCTGTGTGCAGTTTTGGGCACCACAGTATAAAAGATATTAAGCTCTTAGAGAGTGTCCAAAGGAGGGTAACGAAGATGGTGAAAGGCCTTGAGAGGAAGCCCTATGAGGAGCAGATAGGTCACTTGGTCTGTTCAGCCTGGAGGAGACTGAGGGGAGACCTCATCGCAGTCTAAAACTTCCTCGTGAGGGGAAGAGCAGGGTCTGGAACCAATCTCTTCACTCTTGCGACAGGACTCGTGGGAATTACCTGAAGTTGTGTCAGAAGAGGTTTAGGTTGAATATTAGGAAAAGGTTTTTAGCCCAGAGGGTGGCTGGACACTGGAACAGGCTCCCCAGGGCAGTGGTCACAGCACCAAGCCTGACAGAGTTCAAGAAGCATTTGGAAAATGCTCTCAGGCACGTGGTGTGACTCTCCGGGTATCCTGTGCAGAGCCAGGATTTGGACTCAGTGATCCTGATGGGTCCCTTCCAACTCAGCATATTCTATGATTCACGTGAAAATCTGCCTCCTCTGAAGTAATTTGGAGAACTTTTCTGGTGGCTTATGCGGTGCTGGAACTTCATTGCTGGTGCCAGGGCTGGTCACAGGGTGGCAGGATACAGGGCTGATGAGTATGACAGGAGGTTTCAAGTCTGATGGCAGACATTAGGAAATCATTTCACAACCATAAAATTTGGCCAAATATGTAAACTTACTTTAAGACTGGCACTCTCGGAGATTATTTCTTAAGGTTATGAATGTATTATCTGGGCTGAGTGGACCTAAATTTGTAATGTACTTTACTTAACTTGGAACTGATGGCAAATCATGCTTTGCATGGTATTTATTAAAGTGGATGAAGTAAAGAGGTTTTGTTGTTTGAGTAATAACTCAAGCAGAAGTGCCTATAGAACCAGCAAAACACAAACTGAAACTACTTGTATAATCTCACAAAGAATTAGAAAAGTATTGCATCCTTCTCCACCCTCTAAATTCCCAACCAGCATATAATGCCTAGCACATTTCAATCTCTTACTTTACTTGGAATTTGTTGTGCCAAGTTTAAGTCTATATAATGTCATGTTAGCCTTTTCCCTTGTTCCATTTATTAAACTTTACCTGAGAAAAAGAATCATAGAACAGTTTGTGTTTGGAGGGACCTTAAAGATCATCTATTTCCAACTCCCCTGCCATGGGCAGGGATGCTTCCACTCGATAGGGTTCCTCAAAACCCCATCCAGGGATGGGACATTCACAGCTTCTCTGGGCAACTTGTTCCAGTGTTTCATCACTCTCATAGAAAAGAATTTCTTCCTCACATCTAATCTAAACCTGCTCTCTTTCAGGTTGAAGCCATTTCCTCCAAAACAATGTTACATTATGAAACAAGAAATTAAATTGGTTTTAACCCAGGTAGCCACAGGAGCATAAGAAAATATGATTTAGTTTATCTCCACAAATGACTGATTTTTTTTATTTTACAAACAAGTCACTAAGAAATGATTCTTCAGAGGCAAGTGATAATAAAAGTATGCTTTGAGTCTGTAGCCAGATACCAAAATTACCACTCCTACTTGAAAAAGTGTAATTTTTCCTAAAACAGTGTGTTCAGTTTTACTGAGTGGGTTATCATTTGCTGAGATAGTGTAGAAAGCCCACAAATGGTCAGACATAAATAGATTAGTCTTTCTTATTGTTCTACACATCCATACAAAACATATAATGGAAAGAAAAAGCTAAAAACACAGAATCAAGTTGAGCATGCTATGAAAACAAATATACTGTTCATATTTTTTCTAAAAAATCATAAAGTTTAACAACACTCAGGGTAATTGACAGTAGTTTTTATGATTAAGAGGTAGTTGTATACACCTCATCATTGCTTCTCTGAAAATAAAGACTTTAGTAATTCACAGATTTTCTCTAATGGACAAGCATTTTATAATTTTAAAATTTCCTTAACTCAGAGCAATTGCCAATTGCCAATTATTTGGCCTGTGGATTTGGCCCAAGCAATACTGCAGATAGAAGGAAAATTTTCAAGGCATCATGGCCAAGGTCACCATTCAATTTTACCAAATATATCTATATCAGGGACGTGACAGGAGCCTGTGAAAAAGCCTTTGCTGCACAACTTCTTGTTTTGGCACAAGTACAGACAAAGAAAAACAACAGAAGTAACAAAAATGTCTCGTGTCCAAAAATTGAGATAATCCTCTAACTTCCAGATAACTATCTTGAAGCTGAAGTCCTTACGTGTAAAAATGCAGAGAGGTCCCATTTGGCAAAAGAAACAGCAGCAGGACAACCCCTACTTTATTTTATCCTTGATACCCAGAGGTAAAGCAGAAGGAATGACATTGAAGTGGACATTCACTAACTTCTCAAGTGCTTTCCAAAACTTGGGTGGCCCATGACTTCAGTGCCTCTGCAATGAAACCGGAGGGCATCGTTGATCATAGCTGAAGGGCCTATCATTTTCATAACCGAAGCATTATGCTGCCCAGAAATTTCCTCTTTGCCATCTCTAGGCTCCTACTCTATGTGGCTCAGTCTCCCTACTGGAATTCTAAAAATCAGCCCTAGTCGGTGTCTGTAGAGTAGGGAACAGAAATAAGTATCTCTTTTCTGTGGATGTGTACCAGGAAAGGAAGCAAAATTTTACTTTGTTCTGTCTCCTTTCAGTGAAGAAGCTGTACATTTGTTTGCTGCTCCTCTGGTGCCCTTGCCATGTCTTTGAGGCAGACACAGGGGAAGCAGTGGTGCTGATAAGAGTGAATCAACTCATCAAGACATGTAATGATTTCATAGTCAGGAAGAGCCAGGCTGGCAATGTTGAGGCCCAGCATTCGCGAGACCACCTCTCGGAAATCTGCCAGCTGCAAGAGTAAACAGAAAGGAATAAATCCAATAGCAAGCAAAGGACACGTCTAGGAAAAGACATAAATATTTGCATACATACAAACATGAGCATTTGTATTTTCAGTGCAAAATATAGGCATTTCTGCTGTTGCTCAATACAAAGAGCAGAAGTGGATGGAAAAAGCTACTTAGGGGCATATGTCAAATCACAAAACACATAAACAGCCAAGATCTTAAGTATCTCAAACAAAAAGCACGGTTTCAAGTGTAAAAACTAAAAAGTATCTTTCACACGCACACCTTCCCTGCTGACTCAACTGCAAAAACTGAGGAAAACACAGGCAGTGGAGTTGTATTTGACCCAGATGACCAGAAGCTATACAGGCAGCTGGAAACTCTGCTGGGTACAACTCAGAGTACAGGCTTAGATCCTGGTCCTTGACCACTGTTTGCCACTGCTTCTCTCCACCCTGCACTTCCTTGTGGAAATGACAGCAGAAAGGAAGAAGTTAGAAAAAAGGTGGAAATTTGGCACATCCCTTGGTCTGACTTTGACTTGGATACAGCCCAAATTTAAGATGCAGCTTGGGAAATGCTTATTTTTCTTCTGTGCATGGCTGCTGAAAATATATCACAGGAATGGTATTTGGCAAAGTAATTCAAGGCACCAACTTTCTGCAGTTCCCAATGGACAGTCATGCACAACTAACTGTCATCACTAGTGACCCCACCAGTAACAATATTAAAAACTTAAGGTCAGTTGAACATTAATGCTGATTTGCTCTTCTCAGCTCTTAATATGGATGATTACAAGTCAAACTTCAATGCCTCTTCAATGGACAATGCATTACACAGTCAAAATCATAAATGCCTTAATACCCCTTATCATTAGCACACAAAAGAGGAAAATGTTCCTATTTGAGGAAATATTTTTGTCTTGCTATCTATTTGAATGCCAAGATCCCCATTCCTAAACATGAAAGTGACTGAAAACGTCATAGCATCATCAAAACCAGCAAGAAACTGGACTCATGCTCTGGTGTGGCAGCATTCTCACTCCCCCAGTCATGCCAAGGGCTAATGTTAAGGAGGAGACAGACACACTCCTGAAATATGTGTCCAACCCCAACAACACTGTGCAGAAAGGTTTTTGAAGCCTTTCCTGAAAACAAGGTCTCAGTTCCAAGACCTTGCCAAAGACAGTTTTATCCCAGTATTGACGAACGTTGAAGGTGGATAGGGAGGGGAAACCCCAGGCATAGGGCTTTTCCTTTTACCCCTGGCTCTGGGGGGGAAGTGTGCCCTCCCCCTCCCCTCTCCACCCCGCGGCACCTCATGGCCCCCACAGAGAGACCAAGGCGCCTGCAGCAGGCAGGTAGGAGCAGGCAGAGAGAGTTTTATTGTTCTGGTAACTGCTTAAGTACTTTTTGGAAGGATTACAAGGTGACCACTGAGAATCCAGGAGGTCTCACAAACAACCAATGACAATAAGGGGTTAACAACCAATAGATGAGCTCCCAGTTATCTCTTAGACATTCCAAGGATACAGGTAAGGGATCTTGGGAAGAAGAAGGGTTTTTGGAAGCATGCTCACTTTAAACAATCATTACAACTTCAGCATACTTTTCTATACCACAAGCATACTGCAACACAGTATAAACCCTGAGGAGTTGCCATCAGTTCAGAAACACAAAAAGGAAACCAAGACAGTGTAGGGCTATCTGGAGTCCTCAGCACAAGACAGACATGGACCTGTTAGAGTGAGTCCAGAGGAGTGCCACAAAGATGATCAGAGGGCTGATGTACCTCTGCTATCAAGTGAGGCTGGAAGAGTTGGGGTTGGTCAGCCTGGAGAAGAGAAGGCTCCAGTGAGACCTCATTGCAGCCTTCCAGTACTTAAAGGGGGCTTATGAGAAAAGAGGGAGAGTAACTATTTACACAAGCATATAGGATAGGAAAAGGGGAAATGGTTTTAAACTAAAAGAGGAAGATTTAGACTGGAATGTTGGGAAGAAATTCTAAGGGTAGTGAGGTACTGGAACAGGTTGCTCAGAGAAGTTGTGCATGCCCCAGCCCTAGGAGTGTTCCAAGCCAGGATGGATGGGGCTTTGGGGAACCTGATCTAGCGAAAGTGTCACACTGCCCTTGGTGGGGGAGTTAAAATCAGATGATCTTTAAGGTCCCTTCAAACACAAACCATTCTATGATTTTATGATTTGAGAATTCAGTCCCAGTTGTCTATGTTACGAAGACAGTGCAACGTCTTCAATAAAACGCTGGAACAACGTTACACCAAAACCTCTTAAGTTCCCATATGTTATCTTCAAAACCAATTCAGGAGGTCACTGACGCTGGGCTCTGGCAGCATGCTAAGCAAGTACCATGTAACAGAGGCTAAAGATTTTTTTAAACATCTGGACCACAGACAGAATGAGCAGTCAGCAAAGCTGGAATTTGTTTGATCCAGCCTTTGGACTAAGTAAACTTCCGAAACCACCTATACAATAAACCCAACTGATCCTCCAGGAGTACACTGAGGTCTGCACTTTGCACTGTATTTCCTGCTCTCATATCTTTGCTGCTGCAAGCTGTTCAACTTAATTACAGCAATTGTGAGTACACCAAACTGTATTACAGCCATGTAACAAATGCAATAATCAAATCAAATTTGATGCACTGACACTGATTATTGATCTGGCAGGATTTGGCCAAAGGGAATAGATACAAAGTAAAACATACACAAAATCACTTCACCCTTTATTTCTGATGGGAAAAGCAGGTCATACCTATATTGAATGGACAATAAACACATCAAGAATTCAGTAAGTTTTATCAGCAAATAACCTGAAGTTGAAAGCACAGAAAGCCCTTAAAGAAAGCCTTTAAGCCATTCACTTTTGTGAATTTTCAGACAGAAATACTTTTCTATTATATTGTGGCATATAAAGTACAGTGCTGGCAAAGTTGTAGTTCATTGAAAATGCAGAAAAAGGGTTCATGACAAAGAAATTTTCCACATAAACTGAGAGTGAAATATCTGCTGTACCTATACTACACTCTCATATTCTAAGGGACCACTAGCACTTTTCAAATATCTATACACGTACCTGTCTCTCCCTTTTTGCTAGTTCTGCAAGGGTTGTTTTAAGCACCTTCATTTCACTGGTAACTGCTTCTAATATATTTTGGTTTTTTTCTTTCTCTTCAGTAGCTTTACGTTCCTTTAAAAGAAGTTCTGATTTGACAGATCTAAGTTGTTTCTCAGCTTCTTCTTTCATTCTTTCCAATTTGCCTTGAGACTTATTGAGCTCTTCTATTGTTCTGTTCTGCTCCAAAGTTTTGATCTGCAATAAGATGAAGTGTTAAATTTTTCGTAAGGGATGAGGAATAAGCACTTTAATGTGGGTTCTTATGGGTTCTTGATGAAATCACATGCACACAGGAACAATTAAAAATTAGCATTTTGCCTGTTGTATGCAAGAAAAAAAGCCATTTTCCCGCCATATCTATATGAATAGATCTTCTCCGTGTAATGTATGGGAAAAAAGAAGATTACAGCCACATCAACAGGAAAGAAAAGGATGTGTATATTGTATTTTCTTACACTAGCCTGAAAATTTACATTATGCTTTAAAGACACTTCCTAGCATATCAGTAAAAATTGCAAAATACACCAAAAAATTTTAATATTATATTTGCTTTTACCTCATAGATAGATTTGAGAAGTTCTCTATGAACACATTTATTATAAATGAACTAAAGCTGTATAGAACTGGAACAGAAAAATGGCAAGAAGCACAAACGTAACCGTTTTAACTCACCTTAAGTTCATTGGTTTCAGACAGCTTGGCTTTGAGATCAGTATTCGTTTCCCTTGCCAGATCAAGCTGCTTCTGTAACCTCTCTATCATCTTATGTAACTTTCTGACAGTGAGATTGGCCTCATCCCTTTCCACAGCTAAGGCGGTCCTGATTTGCTTCTCTTCTTCCAGCTGGGTTACTTTCTGCCGCAGAAGGTTCATGTGAAGCTCTTTGCTTTCAAGTTTTTCTTGCTGAGTCTTCAACTTGTTTTCCAAACACAAGGATATTTGAAAAATATATGTGAATGACAGTGGTACTACACAGATAAACACATATCAGGTGTTCAACCCACTGGTGGGTTTTGTTGTTTTAATATGCAGCCTGTTTGCACAGTTTGCAAACTTTTGGTATCTTCTTTTTATGAAATGGACATCTTTGAAATTCCTTGTACATATGTAATCTGCTGTTTCTAGCAAACCACTATAGAAATATAGCCACAGTATTGTTTATTTCTGAAACAAATAGTAATGGTATGTCTTTTTTGCGTACCTTCCTTCTGAGGCTGTGTGCCACAGTCTTGTTTTCAATCACTGCATCACCTTCCAGTTTCACTAACTGCTCTGCCCGGGCTAGAATTGCATCCATATTCATATCGAATCCAACCTCTGCTGCTAGACTATCCAGTTTCATTTTCTCATTCAGTTGCTCCAGAAATTTCAGATACTAAGATAAGGTGTGGAAAAGTGGGCAAAAGAATAATAAAACTTCATTTAAAGTCTTGAAGCACAATTTAAAAGCAATCCCCCCTACACCAGCAATCAACAATACACAGCCAAGTCCATGATCCACAAGAAATAATAAAGACTATGTTGCCAGTACACACACCTGACACAATTGCAAATTGTCCTTATGTACTTGTTTAGCCAACATTTATTCTGTTCATAAATCCCTAGACCTACTGTATTTATCTTCTTAGTAAGACAAGATTCATTTTTGCTTCTCTGCAGCACTAGGTATGTCTCTGCTTCTGACTCCAGTTCGTGCCTGGAGCTCTGTTGCTTTACCATGGATAGGCATGGGCAGGGAAAAGCTAGAAAGGACAGCTACATCCTACCTAATAACTGCAAGTGCTGTGATTTCCCAGTACTGTGACCTTTAAAACAGATATAAATGATAGCAGGGATGCCATCTGATGTAGTCTGAGGAGATACAGGAATATTAACATGGTCTGTCTTTAGCCGTTCTTTGGAAGAGAGAGGTTTAGAAGTAACAGCTGCTGGTTTAAAATTTGCTTTTAAGATTACTTTAATTGCATCTCCATCTGGTGATGAACACATACAGATATGAAATATTATTCAATCTGTTTTCTCCTTCTTTGTTCTGCTCTGCTAGCTCCTTAAAAACTGCATTAGTTCCCTGCTCTCAATTAGCCTCTCTTGCAAAATCCTAAGCTCTCCTTCTGACTAAGAACTGTTTCCCTTTGTTTTCTCTTACTTCTTTTGCAGACCATAATCTTTGCAAAGAACCAACAAAAAACCCAAAAAAACCCACCACCAACAAACCAGTTTCATTACTAGTTCATTAGCAAGAATATCCTTTTGTTTTGTGATCCTTCTGGTTCAAAAAATTAAAAACATCATCAGCAGAAGAAAACACTGACGTTGCGCATTAACAGGAAAAAAATCACAACAAGAATCTCTTTATTGCAGCAAAATCTAGAGGCAAATTTAAGAATCTAGGGCCAAATGCTCTTAACAAGGACATAGAGAGGAGGAAACAGAACCTTTTGTCTGGTTTTCTCTCAGTGTGGTGGGTGTTTCGTTCATAAAAGTTACTGTATTATAGCCTAAGGCAAAACAAATAGCATCAAATTGTTGATTCTCTGCAAATCCAACTTTCTAATCACTGATCCTGGCCTGGCAACATGCTATAACTTTGCCTTTCTTAGCTGCATTGGATGGCTGGTTTGGCTTTCTGGGTACTACGCCATTTTTCAAACCCTTAGTATGTGAATGTGTTATAGGCTAAGAGTGTGTTCATTCAGCCAATTAATAAAAAAATCCTGGTAGCCATGATTGTCTAAGAAAACAAAAGAAACAAAGACTGCAAGATCTTGAGAGATAGCAACCTGGATGATATACTACAGGAAGATACAGAGATCAGAGAATGCTTTGAAATCAGAGAATCACTGGAAGACCTCTGATGTATTTACAGAGACTTCTTTTAAGCTGCTTTTGGGGTGGTGTATTTTTTTCCACAATAATGGACTTGGAACTCAACAGCTTAGCTTCTTCCATCTGCAATCATTGGTCAAAGAAAAGATATTACTACCCCCTACATGATGTCTGATTTTGCTAATTTGCATTACTTGGAGTGTTGTGAGTAATGCTTCAGATGACCAATGCAATACAATCAGCTGTATCTCTGTCCTTAGTGATTATTATTCAAAATTAAATAACATGTGCAACTACTTTTTGTTTCTCAAGTTTCAAACCATCTTGCATCAGATCTACAGTCAGTAATTCTTCTTTCAAGTGTTTCAGTTGATCCTGGAAACCCTCAGAACATTTTTCAGCTTTCCTGCTCCTCTCCAGAGCTTTGTGGTACAATCTGGTCTGATTTTCCAAAGCTTCAGTCAGTTTAGCTATTTGGGTTTCAAGTTGAGATACCATCTAGGAAGTAAGCAAATGAACAAAACATATGGAGTTAGGTGGGTTCGGAAATGCTAGAAAGATATGAAAGATGCACCATCAAATTAATGAAAATATGGTATAATGCTTATCTTTAAAATGTATGTATTTAAAAAGATAAAAAGAGAAAAATCTTTCTGTAACTACCAAGAGACAATAGCAGAAGCGGTGACATGTGAGACATCCAAAAGTGAACAGCAGAAACCACATATGAGTCAAATGACTAAAAGGGACTGCTATTAAAAAAATCAATAAAAAACTAATTAGACACAAAATTTCCAAAGATGTGAGCACAGCAGCAAGAGCTGGTAGTCAGCTATCACTCTTTAAAATAAGCCCATAAAATCATTAGTCTATGAAGAACCTGAGTAGAAAAAGCAGATAAATGATTTAGAAAATACATGCAGCATGTAGGGGAGAATGTAGATGGGGATAACTAAGCCTCAGGAGTGTTTCCCAATTGTTAACTGTAAAAGAGTGTTTGACTAAAAGATTTTTCTAAAAAAAAAAAAAGAGATAGTAATAATAATTTCTCTAGCCAGAGTTCAAGGATAAAAGGATAAAATCTCATAACAAGCAACTAAACTAATAGTCTTGAAAACACTTCTAGCTGTACACTGTTTACACCACCTATATATAACGTAATGGATTTTAAGCTGTAAACTACTTATAAATTAGATGCTTGAAAGCATCTGGTTACACTACTGCCAAATACTGAAAGGCAGCTCTATCCCAAAAGTTACTTGCTTCCCTCTATCTTCTAACTGTCATATAAATTATTACATAATTAATTATATTGCATTTGTAACTCAGCGTTCAGACACTCATCTCCAAGCAGCCTCTTCATTTTAAGCATCGGGTTGGTTCCTTTTAATAAAATGAACAATAGGCACACAAAGCTCCCATTAATTTTGTTGGCACTGAAAGGTTTCCAACTCAAACTGCAATTAAATACAAACAACAGTTTGCACCCAACTTGCCAAAAAAACAATGAGAAATTACTGCTGCTCATACAGCAGTAGAAAATACTAAACAATAACAAAACTGCAAAAACCCACATACGTATTTTATGCTTTTTGTATCAAAATCACTAAGCAGGAAAAAAGTAGTTTCAGTAACTTGTTTGCCTGGAGATGTGCTGCTGTCAGAGAACCCAGAGACCCTTTATCAGGCTGCCAAGTGGCTCTGGGTGCAGTCCAGCTGCAAGGGGGTTTTGAGGCTTCAAAGGTCCATAAACACAAGAAAGCAAGGGACCATACCACAGAAGCTGAGAGCACAACCCCCCCAAGCTGTCATTCTGTCATCCAGAGCATCCTGGTGTAACTTTCATCCTTGGTTTAGGACTCAGAACTTAGGCACTTCCTAAACCAGAGCTGCACCCATGTTACCCACCAGTGCCTGTATCCAACATCTTACAGAGGCAGCATTTTTGGTCCTGCAGTTCTGACCTCCACAATTTCATCTGCCTATGACTTGTGCAGCCTGTTCAGCCAACCTTCAAAAAAAAAAATCATTCTCTGCCTTTTGTTTTAATGTGGCTACCAGATAATTTCAAACTAAGACTATATTACATAGCAACACCAAGTTGGGTGGGAGTGTTGATCTGCTGAAGGGTAGGAAGGCTCTGAAGAGGAATCTAGAAGAGTTGGATAGATGGGCCAATGCCAAGGGTATGAGGTTCAACAAGACCAAGTGCTCAGTCACAACAGTGCTACAGGCTGGGGGAAGGGTGGCTAGGAAGTCCCTGGTGGAAAGAGACCTGGGCATGCTGGTTAACAGCCAGCTGAACATGAGCCAAGTGTGCCCAGGTGGGCAAGAAAGCCAGTGGCATGCTTTTTTGTGTTGTGTGGGGTTTTTTTAAATGCTTCATCAAAATGCACAGGGATATTTTCAAAAGCTATCTTCAACCCTGGACACAACACAAAAACATTTGCTAACATTAAAATCCACCACGTCAGCAGGAGATGCTAGAATCTGAAAATTGGGCGAGGACACCAAAGTTGGTTTTCAGTGGCTCACTCAAAACACCTTTTGATTTAGTGTCTGACTTTTAATTATATAATAGTCCTCACTGACAAAATTAATAAATGCCCATGTAAGCAAGCAAGCAAGCAACTTCAGTGCAGTGTCAGGGTACTGATATTGGTCAGACTGCATTCTGACTTACCTTCCTCCTGAGTTGTCCCTTCTCTACCTGGACATTCAAACACACCTTTGCAAACACTACTAGCCAAAACACTTCAAGCCAAAGGCAGCTGCCTTCCTATTACCTTTCTCCTGTATGGTGAACAATGTTTAACTGTAGGTGTAAATATACTTCTTTATTTTTAGGTGCAGGTTTTGAGGATTATAGGGGAAAAAGTTGCCTGGGACAACTCATCAATTTTATATGCTTTGAGAAAGAAGTCACTATCGTAGCAGCAAATCCATGCCCCCATGCTTGTTCACAACCACACAGTCACTCTTGATGTCTGCTGGTACTGAAACCTAATTTCACTATTTTAACTGGAAGACTATTCCAATTCTTTTCTTCTTAACAGCATCTATTATTAATTTAATTTCTGAACTCTTCCTACTTGATAAAAAAGATGCTTTCCACCTATTACCTCAAATCAACTGACAACAAAATTAAAGGTTTCTGTAATTTCAAAACCTAAGCAGAAGGAACGAACATTCTACCAGATGAATAAAATTAAACAGAATCCAAAGAGAATAAATACACACAGTGGGCAAGTGCAGTAGTTGTTAACTTACTATTTGTTTACTCTCTTCTTTACAATTTATTTCTCGAATCCTCTCCAAAATGGCCTTCTCAGACGGTTCAACTATTGAAGATCCACCGTTGAGTAGGGTGGCAATTTGTTCTCTAAAAGCCTCTAAAGAGCTTCGAGCAGCCCTGGCTTCTGCTCTGCTGCTCTTCAAGCTTCCACCTAACTCGCTGGAAGATTTCTTCAGACTATGCAGTTCCCTCTTTGTGGTGTCCAAGGCTTTCTGGTTAACAGTCAGTTTATCTTGGAGGTTTCTGAACTCCATCTCTAAATTCTGTCTCTCTATTATAGCGCTGTTAAGATCCTAAAATGCATGAAAAATTAATCTGGATTTTTTAAATCAGTTATAACCCCTCCCCACCATACACATATCAAGGAATAATTCAGAAGCAGGTATTGCAGACAGAGAAACTAGGATGCTCATATGGATTCAACGTCAGGGTTTCATAGGAGAACTGCTACTGAAATTGATGAAAGGCCAAAGTCTGCAGTAATCAGCCTATAGATTAACCTCTGGCAGTGGCCTGCAGAAAGGAATACATGCATAAAATCTGCAGGTTTAAAAAAAAAAAAATTTTTAATTGTAAAACTATTGATATCTTATTTTTCCATTCAGATAATATGACCTGAAAACCAGTGAACAAGATTTAACAGTAATAACACCAAAGTACTACAACTCAGATAGGAAAGGAAGGGACCTGCAGTGGTGATCAACTCCAGTCACCTGAGCAATTCAGAGTTGACCAAAACAACAGATACGATCTGTTTGAAAACAGTGATAAGAAGTGATCTCTGAGATCAGTTTACTGAATGTGACAAAAATTCCTGAGATTATTTACACACAGGAATGGGAAGTGAAGGATCAAACAAAGGCTTGATTGGGAAACAATAAAATATAGCCAGTACCTACATATCTACATCAGTTATATATAAAACATTGACCTAACAGGGCAAAGCAAAAAGATAGAATTGTGTATCCTGGCCCACAACACCAAAACAAATAATGAGACAAAAATTAAAGAAAATTAACCATCTAAACATACAGAGAAAATAATCTCTTTCAGTCACCTTGTGAATCTCTTTCCTTTCCCCACAATACCAATTTTAAGAGTGCTTACATATTCATATACAAGAAAAATATTTGCAGTGAAACAAATTAAAAGCATAGCAAAGACTAAGTCTTCATTTCTCAAGGCATTATCTGATTGATAAGAACAAATGGGAAAGAATATTACTTCACACATGACACAAAAGGAAAGAATATTACCTCACCCAAGACACAAAACTATGACAGAGGGTGGTATATTTACAGAGAGTGACTGCATTCCTCTGGAAGTCTCAGTGGTTAGTAGAGACTCAGTAAGTGGACTGATATGAGTTAAGATTGTGTACACTGGAGGTAAAGAATTGTTCCTGGAGCAGTTATGAATATGGTGATTACTCAAGGGTCTCTCAGGGTCTATGTGTGTTTGCTGTAGTCATTTGTATTGATGGAATACATGCCAATCGAGGAGTAGATCTGGGAGCATTTACATAGATCAGCAGGGAGGATGGACAAAAAGGAAGTTTGCAGTGCACCCTTAGAAAATAAAATACAAACATATGATACTAAAAATAATTAAATTTTTAATAGCTTCAAAATGGGAAACATGCAAAAACACAAACAAATACAAACCCTGGCATTTAGGACATTATTTGTTACTATACCTTTCCGAAGTAATTGTAGAACCATTTCAGAGACATGTTGGCATAATTCCTTGCCATTTTCTCTTTTTTATTCTAAACAAGCCCTATTAATAGAAAATTCCCACCTGCGCTCAGAATTACATTATGGCAATTACAGTAAAGAATAAAGAGTAATTTATTTCAATTACAGTTTTCAGCAGTGTGTATTTTTCCTTCAAGAAAGGCAGTGCTAAATTAGTTTGGCAGTACCAGGGATCTTATCTAATTACAATCTTGTTTAAATTGTGAACATCTGAAAACAAACACAGTCAAATCAAAAGATCAAGTTATAAAACAAGAAAGTGCAAGCCACCAAACACTGGCTGGAAAGCTGCCCAGCAGAAAAGAACCTGGGGGTGCTCACTCAACGTGAGCCAGTAGGTGCCCAGGTGGCCAGGAAGGCCAGTGGCATTCTGTCCTGTATCGGAAATAGCGTGGCCAGCAAGACTACAGAAGTGCTTCTCGCCCTGTACTCAGCACTGGTGAGGCCACACTTTGAATCCTGGACCTACAGACACTCTCAAATAGTGTTATAATTCTGTAATTATGATTATCATAATCAATAACCACCGTCTGGACATACAGAAAGAGAGAACAGGTATTCTCATTCTAGAAATCTAGGCAGCATTTAGAAGTCATTTTTCATCAAACGCAAACTTGATATCCAGCACAGCCACAATAACGGTATGCACAGTATTTACAGACTTCCAGGAGCAAAATCTTGCAATAGTCTGTCAGAAATCTGAGAAGTTCAGAAGTCTAAAAGAACAGTAATACTTAATAGCTTCTTGACTTGCTTTTTTTTAGTTATATATTTTACTTACATACAGTTTCAAGGGTGTATAGATTTTTATTGTTTGCTGCTTGCTATTGTCATATTGTTCACTTGCTAATGTTCCTCGAATTAAACCCAAATAACTGCAACAGATACGTATCAAACACATTAAGAACATTTCGAATGTATTAACTTTAAGACATAACCAACTGGCTTTCATTTTCTTCATTAAGAATTTTGCAATGTAGACAGCTATCTCCTTCCAGGACATAAAAAAAAGCACCTGGTCAAGAGAAGGCGTTCACAGAAATCATAAGGAGCTGGAGTGGAAAACCACCTGGCAATTAAAACTGGCAATTATTCAGAGAAGTGGCAGGGAACGATGCAGTGTCTGAGTCTTGCTGGAGATCACTGACAGAACAGTGTGATGGTCTCCATACATTTAGAAAAATTTTAAAAAGAAAACTGGGGGAAATGGGCTGCCATCTCAATGTGTAATACTGAAGATGGCCAAAATGTCTGGTCCTGAGAGCTTCAGGCACACACAAACATACTTGTATTCAACCTCTGCCAGGTAAACTCAGCTACAGGCAATTCCATTAATTAAGTTCAGAAAACAGCCCAAAACCACACAGCTGAGCATGAGTCTTCTGGAACAGGAACAGTATGGATTTCTACTTTTCGCCTTTACAGGGGAACATTTTACAACATGTGCAGCTTTGTTCATGTGCTTAAACTGTGCAGCAAAGTATATGGCAAAGTCCAACTGATTTTATGCTGCTGGTGCCCTCCCTGTAACCTACTAAGACACTCATCCAGGCAACAAGGGATCCCATACATTACATGTGAGGATTTAAAGCATTTTTTGGTTTTTTTACTTACCTTTTCAATACTGGCTTTCTTACTACGCTTTTGTGAACACAACACCTTCAGACACAAACATATTTACTCAGTGTCTGCTAACTTAAGTAGTTAACCTGAAAAAGCACTGGAGGAATCTTCAGCCCCTAGATAAGCCCCAATGGCATACACTCCATTTGAAAGGCAATGCTAATAATTTAGAAAGACATTTCTGTAAAATTGGTTAAATAAATTATGTATTTGGCATACGCACAATAATGATAGGGAAATATTTTTCATAAAACTAGCTCAACTTAGCAAATGCTTTGGCAGTCAGAGCAAACTTGCAAAACAAGTCACAAAGGAAGCCCTAATCTTGGTTTAAAACATCTCCTGATTCTGGTTTACTTAGTGAGTAAACTACACTCTGCTCTTCCACACACACCTGTGTTTGAAATGAAGTATGAGAACAAAATGTTCTCAGAAAGGACCTGTTTAAGTTTTTGTGCAGGTTCTCCCTCAGTTCCATTGAGTCTTAGAAAATTTAATACAGCTTGGTAAGAACTATTTTCAGCAGTAAGTAAAATTTATGACCCTTGTGGTACTTAACATTTATCTTCCCCACAACAAATTCTTTCTTCTCCAGAGTACTTTGCCAGCTATTTCTCATCTCCTAAGTATTTTGCTTACAACCAACTCAGAACACTATATCCTTTAAAGTGTACAGTGGCAGTCTTTTGTTCAGAAAAAAATTGAATACTGGGGGTGAGGAAAATGCTGGATTACATTGGAAAACTCACTTGCACAAGGTTGTCTTTATGCTTAAAATTTCTTCAAACTCAATCACACACAACTCAGCTACATATTTGACAGTCTAAATTTCTTCCCTTATTTTCTTAAGTTCTAGCCATCAGCTTTAACCACACTGTTCCACCTGTGGGAAATTTTCGTTATGGGCTGCTTCCTTTCCACAGTTATCACTCAAAGTACAAAGCAATGAGGAAAACTGCTACAAAAATGTTCTTTGTTTGTCCGTCATTTCAATTGTACGAACTCTTAATGCCAAGTTCTCCTGGAGCAATTAGATCTTTAAATCACGTACTTTTCCTTTCCAAAACTGACTCACAACTTAACTTACATTTCAGATACATTTCTCATTTGAGCATCTCTCCTGCTGCAGAGATTTCCTCTGTGGCTCCCTAAGAGTAAAACAGGGCTTTCCTGCAAGAGCCATCCTACTGCCTACAACTTTTTGGGTATCAGCCAACAGTAATGAAATACAAATTTATAATGCAGTGAAAAGATAATCTAGGGTGTCTGGAAGCCAAGACACTTACCTTCCACTTCCTTAATTCCTTTCAACTTCTCATTAGAATTTCTGAAGAAACTGAGTAAAAGAAATCTCAGAAAACTTGCAGTATCATATAAATATTATTTAAAATAGTATTTCTCATTGTTGCATGCTTGTGCCTCAGATACACTCATTAACTTTGTACACATTTACATTTTTGTGCAAGCACAACAAAGGCTACAACAATACCGAAAGCACAACAAAGGCTAAAACAATACCAAGAAAGCAAAAATAGAAATTTGCAAACAGCATTGGAAGACATCAAATCTGCATCAGATCTATTTTACAAAATGTTTTTGTTTAATCTCTATATGTTCTGAAACTTTCAGAGTTGAGAATAACCTCAGAAATACATCTTTTTTAGAAAAGAACCTAATTAACCTAAGTTTTTCAGAAGCACTTTTTCCTCCTTTTTCAATTCCTATTGAAAATTGATTTGAAATGTCAAGAAAACATCTGAAAACTACACAAACATACAAGTAATGCAATTATGTACCTTACTAAGTTTTTCCATGTCTTGATAGTATCCTGCCGCCTTTTTTTGTTCCTTTGTCACTTCTGAAACTAGCCTCATGATAGTTTCTCTACTAGCTTTAGACTCCATCTCATGGACATTCATAGCTTCTTGAAGAGCAGCAACCTGGTCTTTCAGTGTCAGATTTTCTTCACATATTTCAGAGACCTTGAGAAATAATTCAAGTATTAGTAGCTTTTTAAAAGCACTTAAAAATGAAATACATTCATCCCAGTATACCTGCTCCTAATCATCCCAATAAAGACGTGATGTTTCTGGTGATCCCTATGTCAGATCTATAACTGCATTCTACTATTCATTTATAAAAGAGTAGAAAGACAATTAAAATCATAGAATCGTATTCTCACCATAAACCCCCACCTTAGCATAACGAGGGTCAGATTTACTCCAGCACAAACCTTATGATCTATTAAACAGGTGGAGAGCTGCTACTGCATATCCGTGCGTGACATGAAGGTCAGAAAAAAGATCATGTAACTGCTTCATGTGAAAAGCAGACAATTTCAGCCTGGCTTTTTAAGATGTGCGCCTTTCATTTGGAACGAGAAAGCTGCAAATTATGCTCAAAACTTTTTAGGCAAGGGAGATTTGAGTTAGTAGCAGTAATTCAAGGGCAGGGGCAAATACATGGTGTGCTGCCATTATGAGCCGCCAACACCTTGGAAAAAGGAGTCCTTTCCAGGAGTATTCTAGGGTTGTTTTGGTACGTTAGGCTGTTTCCAATAACTGGAATAGATGAATGTGGGCACTTCAAAGAGTGAGTAAAAAACGTACCCTGATTCCTACTGGCAAGACATTTGTTAAGACTAAAACAGATCAATTCTGTCTTAAATAAAACCATAACATGGAAAAGCAGCTAAACAGATGTGCCAAGACCCAAGAAAAATAAGTTGCTAAGGTTTCCTAACGCACACAGTTTTCAGCACAATTACGCTTCCCAACTACATTTATTACTACTTATTATTATATTATTACTACATTTGCTATCATTAAAAGACATCAACATACATTTTTTTAAAGCCCCAATTCCTAATTGCATTAATTTATTAAAGTATGCAAGAGTGCCTCTTGCATGACATCTACCCAAATTTTGTTACAGCACCTATTACAATTTCAATGTGCTTGCAATATTATGTAATACTATGAGGGCAAGTGCTTTAAGAAATCACCGTGATACATACCTAGATAACCTTGATTTATTAAGGCAGAACTCTTACAACAATGTGAACATAACGAAACAGAATTTCCCCAAATACCTAATGTGCTCCAAAGGAAAACAGGGATATCAAAGACTAGACAGAAGACAAGTAAAATGCATAAAATTAGACTAAAATGTCTTTCAATAGCATTGACAGAGGTTAAAAGAATATCCAAACAAATTTCCTTTCCTAAATGGAAGCTTAGTTTTTGGAACTTCAGAAGTGTTCTGAAGAGTAGTGGTTTATGATTAAGTCTCAGAAACATCACAAAGTTATTTACAGAATTTTATTACAGGGCACCGTTAGGGTTGCTTTAGGGTATGCCATTTCAGATGTTTCTATTTAATGGTATGTCAGCCTGAGATAAGTGTAAAGATCTAGTGCCATATGTTTACACATCACCTAGTGACTCCCAGTGTTAATGTTTTCAGGAAAGCTTTCAACCAAGTATCTAATCAGGGCTGTACTTGGGAACTACAGGGTGATAAAATATTTATGCAGATAAGAGCAGACCAAGTTCACTGAGGTTTATTAGTGTTTGAAAATAAACCCATTATGAAAAAAAAAAGTCTTAAATGACAGCACTGTCTGCAAACCATAATAAAACACAAAGATCTTCATCTTCATCACTTGCTTTATTTCTGTGACAATCAAGTATTTTTCCATTAAAACACTATAGAGAAACCCTTGCCTACACATAATCACCTTCGACATTAAATATTCTTGTGGTTTCTCTTTTTCTCTGATGTCTGCGTCCAAGAATCCAGAAAGCTGTGTAAGGAGCTCTTCATACTTTCTGCTGATTTTAGAAGCTTGAGTTATGTTCTCTTCACTTGTATTCAAATATTTACTAGTCAGACAGAAAAAAAATACACACACCAGGATGAATGTTCTCTGAAAAAGAATTCAAGGCAAAACACATTATCCCAAGACTATCTCTAGCTTCTGCATACCACCAAATGAATTTTAAAAGTTACATTTAATTTTCTATTGTCTGTTATTTAATACATATAACTTTTGTTGTTGCCTTGTGTAAACATTTATCTTTGCTTTTGATCAGCACTTCAAAGAATCATCTATGATCCCAACCTCATTCTCAGCACAAGATTTCAATAAAACACAAGAACCAGGCGACACCAATAAGTAGCGCCCTCAAGACACTAAAAGCAGGAAGTGCAAGCAAAAGCTTAGAAAAGACAAGAGAGGAAAGACAGTAATCTACTTTGAGTAAAACTATGCTGAAAGCACTTCACATCCCCCCTCTAAAGAAGCTGACAGTGCTGATCAACAAACTCCAAGGAAAGAGAAGCCTCTCTGGACTAATAGAAGCGTAAGACATCCAGAGTACCTTGTGAAGGGAAATTTACCAACAGAAGCAGGGATGGGAGACACCACTTTGCTACACCATCTTCTGCGGCACAGCACTATCAATGAAACGGACAGATGGATTAAAAAAGAAAATATCTAGGGACTAACACAAAGGTCTGAAGAGAAAGCAGCTTTTTGCCATCAATTACATAAGTTTCAACGGGTGCCTATTGTGTGAATACATATCCCAGCCTTAACCGCAGGTATCAGTTTGTAAATGCTGGATAAGAACAATCAACCAACTAAACTAGCAGTCAGTTTAACTCGTTAGTATAAATGTGGTTACATCACTTCCCTTGCCAGAGACAAAGACAAGTCCAGCAAACAAAAGCACCACAGTCTGCATAGGTAGGTAACAGGTAAAAATCTTGCTCATGATGCTGAAATACACATCACTTATGAAAAACTACAAGGAATGAGATTAACAAAAAACAGCCTACCAAAAACAAGCTCAAAATGACCATTACTGTAATCCAAATATCAACTCCAATACCTCTCAGATAACACAAGAGAGGTACTTAGTGGTAGAGTGCAAGACAAGCTATTGCGCTTCCAGTTGAAAAACAAGGTACTTTCTAAAGCAAGTTCTTCATGCTAGAAGAAACCAAGACATGAGATATAACCAAAGAGCTGTCTATAGCAAATATTTTGGTGAAACTCATTTGCTTATCAGACTATACACTATTCTCGGCTTTCAAGGTGGGCATAGTAGTCATTTCTGGACTTACTCTTTTCCATTTCTGATTTCTTCCTCTCTGGGTTGGCAATCAAACAAAGCATCATTCCATAACCAAAGAGCACCATGAGACTCCAATATGAAATGCACAGTGAGTGCAAACACAAGTACGTCAAATGGCTTTAAATCAGTAAGTAAAACAGATGCTCCATGAAAATATTTAAGGTGTAGCCTTAGAAGGGAGAGCAGCACAGCTGCTGTCAATGCTGCACAGTGAAAGAGAACCATAGAGTAAGAAAGAATCAAAAACATTAATTACTGCTCTGGACATTATGAGGGAAATTACACATAACTACTGCATAGCACACACTATGAGCCAAAAGAGCTCTGGCTTCTGCAGCAGACACTGGCCCTCAGAAAACAAGCACCTCACAGCTTTCTCACTTCCAGGTTCCTTCCCTTCCTCTATAGCCCCAGCAAAAGCTGTGAGATGGTCACTAACCTGCTGTCCTGAGAGGGAGGTATGTCACAAGTGAAAAGGTATGTGGTTCCAGACATGCCATACATGTATGCCTATATGTTAGAATATGGTATTAGATTGACCACCAATACCACAACTGTTCTATGGCTCTAAAAAATGAGACATCCACACATAGAAACATGTCTGCTTCTAAAAATAAAAAATCTGAAGTACAAAGCACATACTTGATAACTCTACAAATAATCAATCTAATTACCTCCAGTAGGGCCAAAAAGGTGTGAGCACCCACAAAATAGGCAATAAGGTACAAAAAAAAGTAGGACACAGCTTTTTCACAGTTTTGCTAGCTCTTCAGAACTAATGAGCAAAGAGAGGGGAGGAAAAGGAAGAAAAAAACCTTTTCACAGTTCACACTCTAAAAATGCCATGGCAATAGATCTGTTGAGTAAAAAAGTACCATTTTCAATAGGAGAGAGGTGCACATCCTGGAAGCCAATCATAGAATTCATCAAACATGTCTTATTATATCCCCAGGTACAGAATGCAAATATGCATTTCCTACATACTGGCTTGCTCTTCCATTTCATTAGTGATTTTCAGTGAAAATCTTTTTTGAATACCTAATTAGGACTAGTCATATGCCACCTACTACCAAGGCGGCCAGACTAAGTGACTGAAGCTCAGTAAGTCAGTACATTGGTCAGTATTAAATGACACATGTAACCATTAGCTGGGGTGGAAAGAAAGCTTGGAAAGCAAACACTGCACATTCATGACCAATCCAACATGTTTGTTTCCTCCAAATGAGCAGACTCAATATCCCTTTACTCCTTCCCTTTTCCCAGAAGTCCAATGGTATACTCCAGATGCACAGTGAACCAGATCTGGGATTGGTAGAGCTGGAAATCAAGATTTTTATTTTGCTCACTTCTCTCTTGGAGTAGTCACCTGGTCCTGATCACCATGCAGCAACACAAAGAGAACTGATGACACAAGTGTCATAGGCCAAAGAAAGTAGCCAGGACTGCTCTGGGAGTGACAGCAGAGATTTATGCCTATAAAACTGATCCTATCACTGTAATGATAGGTTAGTATGATACTCAATATTTCAGCAGTTTTCTCCCAGTGATTTAGGCAAATGAGATAGCAGGTTTTTCTTCCCTTTTTTCTTCCATTTTTTTTTCCCCCACCAGAAATAGCATTTTAAAGAATCTTAATAGTTATTATGTCAGAGACTGATGCTTTTTATGTTGCTAGGATGCATAAGACACTTCTTGACTTAACTATATCCTCACTTATACTCGGATCCTATCTAAAATCTTTGGTAATCAACATAAGCACTCTCCAGGCAGAACTTTTGGCAAATCAGATGGTGATAAACAAGCGCACTGCAATGTTTTTTTCTAGATTTTAAAATAACTTAATTATTCACTTCTAACACACAAAGCCTGGTAGAGCTGTGCAAAATACTATTTTGGGAAATACAGACATCTGGTAAACACTCACCTTGCTCTTAACTAGACAGTATTGAGAGAATCATGAGTATTAGTCTGGCAATGGGTAGAAAAATCCATTACAAAAGTCTACAGGCTGTCTATTAACATGACTGACACTGATTTTCGAATTTTAGTGTTCAGAATATTTTCACAGCTATCAATTTGATTTGTTATCAACATTGCTATCAGTCTCCCTCCCAGAGACCTGAAATATAAGCAATTATGTAGAACTGACAGATCAGTGCTCTGATACACTATGCTAAGAACAGTATAGTGAAAAGACACTGCCTTTTATTATAAGTTTTATGCACATTAAAAAAGCGAACAAAACAAAACCACACAGCAACATCCAAAAGAAGGCAGAAGCAGTGTCAGAGAAAGCTAACATCACTGAAAGTGTACAAACATTAACATGTTCCTTTCAAGATGCTACCAACTAGGGATTATACCATATTTCCTTTATTAGACTGCTCCTAACAGACAGCTTTACTCTAAGAAAGAAATCCACTTGATGCTGTTCTGGTTCCAGCTGCGACAGAGAAACAGGGAAAACAGACCGGGGTGGTGCAGCAGCACAGTCACTCACCACCACACAGCCCATGCAGTATGCCCATGGTAAATGTCTGTAAAAGATGGCATGTAATAAGGACAGACCAGGGCACTAGTCTGCACAAAGTCTGCCTCAGTGCCACACATGGAAATAACCTGAATGATGAAAGTATATGTATAATTTCTACTGTGTTCAGAGTAACAGCCCTCTGTGCTTCTTTTTTTGTGAACAATAGGGTTACACAAAGCTGACTCATATCATCATTTCACCTCTGAAGGACAAAACACTCAAAATCCCATTTATGGGCTAAAAACTCAAAACAAAATTCAAATTTCAACACCTTCCACTCCAGTACAACAGTTGTGTAAGGCATTGTAAGAGAATTTAGAACTGAAATAAAGATTGTCCACCAGTATAGCTTTCTGCATTGACGATTGCACCATTCTGTCATCCCAAACAAAAATTAATTCTCATCTCCCATGAATCTTACTTAAGTTTGGCATTTTGATTGTGCAGCTCCTCCTTCAGCTCCTGGTTTTCCTTATATGCCACCTGAGCTCTCAGCTCAGCCTGGTTTTTAGAAGCAGTGAGCACACACAGCTCTTCCTCCATCTCCTGGATTCGTGTTTGCAAACACTGGAGGCGAGACATCTGTCTAGCATTGTTTTCCTTATAGCTTTCAGCTTCAGCCTTCAGCTCTTGAAAAGAAGCTTCTTTAGAGATTATGCTGGACCTGAGTTCAAGAAGCTACAGATAGAAAAGGAGAAAATTAATGGAGAATAATTTTGCCCAGGTTCGAGGGAGGTGATTATCCTGTTCTACTCTGCACTAGTGCAACCTCACCTTGAATATTGTATGCAGTTTGGGGCACCATAATATAAGGAAGATATTAAGCTACTGGAGAGTGTCCAGAGGAAGGCAACAAGGACTGAAGGGCCTTGAGGAAAAGCCATATGAGGAGTGGCTGAGGTCACTTGGTCTGTTCAGCCTGGAGAAGAGGAGACTGAGGGGAGACCTCATTGCAGTTACAACTTCCTCGTGAGGGGAAGAGGAGAAGGCAGTGATCTCTTCTCTGTGGTGACCAGTGACAGGACCCGAGGGAATCGCCTCAAGCTGTGTCAGAGGAGGTTTAGGTTGGGTATGAGAAAAAAGTTCTTCACCCAGAGGGTGACTGGGCATCAGAACAGCTCCCCAGGGAAGTGGTCACAGCACCAAGACTGACAGAGTTCAAAATACTCCTGGGCACATGGTGTGACTCTTGGGGATGGTCATGTGCAGGGACAGGAGTTGGATTTGATGATCTTTGTGGGTCCCTTCAAACTCAGCATATTCTGTGATTCTGTGAAATAATGTGACTGTACTACAAGCTTAGTAATGCGACAAAAACCAGATTTTGGAACAGAAGATTCAGTTTTCTATCACTATTGTAAAATAGAAGAGGTTTGTAAGAACAAAAGCTACTGTGGGGTAACACAATACAATTTTCCAAGATAATATCTTACAGGAAGATAAGTTTACTTAATAATTCAGAATTTAGGAAAAGTTTACCTTAAGTTCTGTGCTACAACCTTAACTCTTGTCTCGTATGCATCTGCTTTACAATAAAATTATTAACACCGCTATTCCGTCTTTTTTGCCTGCCCCTTGCCTGCTTCCAATTCTGGTGCACAATTCCACAGAAAATCTATAGCTGCAGGGAGTTGTAACAGCAAAGTATGTTGTATGGGTATGGACCCTCTTCATGATTTGTGACATATTCAAAGGAAAACAAATCTTTGGAACATTGTGCGGTAGGTAACCTTTTCTCATCTGATGCAAATTGCTATTTTTTGGTCTGATAATCCAGTTGAATGTAGTTTTTTGGTTTTCCTCTCTCTTTTAGTTAAAAATACAATTTTCTATTGAACTATTTCTGCTATAAGCTTCTGGAGGAGACTGAACTTGAGGGAAACACACTAGGCAAATAAAATTTCCTTGTGATTTTGTTAAAAGGAACGAATAATTTAAGATGGATTTTTTTGTCACAAGCGGCATTAAGGCATGCTTCAGATCTCCTGACAATTCCAATTAAAAGTATTCCTCTCCTATTATATAAAATTAACAGGCAAATAATTAAGCCACATTAACTGCTCTTTATGACAAGTGGTAGGGCTTTTAACTTGTGGCAAACATTTTAAGGCAAAAATATCTAGGACATTAAACTGCAATTCAGGACAATGTAAAATTCACTGCTCTGCCAGAGTTTTCCATTGTGACCAAACCCAAGATATTCAGAAAAATTCAAGAGGCTGGTGAGCCAACTGAACAGCAACTGCCTTGGAAAAGAGAAGTCCTGCTTCTCCTGCTTCCAGCCACGCATGTCTGTCCTTAGCTCTGCGTTTGACTCCTCCACAAACAACTTAAATAACAGATGACAGAAAAGAACTCATTTTTCCTCTCACAGAGAAGGAAGAGGAAGTGGAGCTGGCCACGTCACAGAGAAAAGGCTAAATCAGGTAGGAGAATCACCCTTGCAGCAGCAGCAGCAGCAGCATAGTTTTCAATAAGTTTATGATTCACATGCAAGTGCTGTTTTATCAGACACTTTGGAGCTGACACAAAGCAGCACTGACTTTAAGAAAAGCAGCTTGGCCTTTTCCCAGGTTCATGGCCTTCATTTCCATACTCCACCCTGTTCTTTGTGCTAGCAGAAGCACTAATATGGCTCTGAGGTGAAATAAGATTGGGAAACTAAAACACAACTCAAAAGGAAAGTAATGATTTTTTTCAATTGCATCGACAAAACAGTGCACCATAAAAACTACACATACATCTGTGCCGGCACAAGGGGTGGGGCAGTGTGGGGAAGGAAATGAGCAGCTAAAGGAACAATAGAATTGCTTTGCTTGGCAGCTGGACCAAGCTATGGTATCTTAGAGTGTTCATAACCTTAAAATTTCTCTGTGGTTCAACTCCCCATATGATATTTTTTCCCCTGTCCATTGTCTTTGTGGTCAGTTCCAACAGTAGAAAAAGCAAGAATAATCCCATATCATGAGTTTTACAGAGCACTCAGCAGAACAAGGCTCTGACCTCAGCTGGGTCATGAAGGTCTTTATTAACAAGAGCATGAACAGCTGCTTTCTTGACTATTCTTTTGCTTTTGCAAGCACAGTCTTGAAAGAATCTATAAATCATTCAGTCGTTCTGGCAATAAAGCCATTCAACATTTCCAGTAATAAATTCTTTGTATGAGAACATGAGATTCTGTATGGCTTTTTAAAATTGAAATTTAAAGCACTGATCCTGGATAGATGTTAAGTGTAGGGGAACTCTGCAGTCATTTCAGGATCAACTCATCAAATTAAAGCTCAGCCAATGGACACTTATCCCTGTAGTTCTGCCTGGATACTGTAAATATATGTAAATAAACATAAGCATTTCATGTCTTCTAAAGTCAAATTTTACTCCATTTTAAAACTGCCCACTGCCCACATCAAATCAACTTTAGTCAGTCATACATTAAAAAAAAAAACATATTTTTGGAAACATCCTGTAATAAAACCTCTCCTGAAAAGCACCGTCTAGACAGCAGGAAGAGCTGAGAAGTATGTGTATGTGTTCTTCAGCCTTTCTAGTTACAATCAACCTCATTAGTACAAACAAAATTTCACTGATGATGAAAGCAAAGCAAATTTGTAGAACTGTAATTTGAATAAAGAGGAGAAATGAGTAAAGATGGGTATATTTTAACTCACCAGCAACAACAGGAGGATATCTATCAGAATTTTTACACAACTACAATTTAAAAATACTTTCAGGTTTAATATAAAAAGATTTAATTTAGATGACAATGATAAAAATCGAGACTGTTTCAAATCTTTCAAATTTAAACTCATAATTAGTTCTTGATCACAGAAGGAAGCAAAGTAATAAATCACTTAGAAATTCTAAAAATAAAAATCTTACAAAAACCCAAAAGTTTGTTGTAAAAGCAAGATTTGGAATTTCTGTAACCTTTTTATTCTTTGCATAAAGTATCTGCAAAGAATTTTCAGGTTTAGAGAAGGATTTGAAATGTTTTTAAATGTACCTCTGACTGGACACAATCACACTTCACTGAAAGTGCTGCAAGTTCACTTTGAGCAGCTTCAGCTGCAGCTCGATAATGATTCATCTGCTCTCTAGTGACAGGAATATCCAAAAGAACGTGATCATGAGATTCCTGTGAAGACAGCATGAAAACAAAACCGCTTGAGATCGCATTTTTGAACATTTTTACTGCAGTGCTTTTTTGTTTGATAAAGCTACTCAGGCCATTATTCCAAATATGCTATTCCCAGAGTAGCATGCCCTGACTGAAAAATAGGTTAAGCAGTCACTTTTCTACCAGTCACTACTTGAATCTGCAAGTTCAGCCACCAACACTGGTATTAAAGTATACTAGCATGTAAGATATTCCTCCTCAACAATCCCATGGCCTTCCACTGTTTTCAGCTTTGGTTATTTCCAGTAGTTTCTATGTATTTGGCAACATTTAAAAGGTGCCTCTCCTACAAACTTATCCAGTCACTCTTTTAACTCACGTAAACTTTAACCCAACAGGAGTCTTCAGATGTGTCTTATTCAAAGAACCACTATGGTTTTTAGACTTCAGTTCCATTGCTTGTCCCCTCCTTTTTATTTTGGAAGAATTGTTGGAAAAAAAAGCAGTGGCTATCCAACTTCTCTGTGCCACTCACGATTTCGCAGATTTCTATCATATCTCACTTCCACAGCCTCTCTACCAGGCTGAAGAGTCCATGTCTACTCAGACACTTGTATCTGCCCCTCCAAGTCACGTTTTGGCTTGCCATTTGTTCTTTTACTTACAACCTGTCAAGGCTGAAGGTCCTTTTGAACTTCATCACTAGGATACAACTTCAGCCTTCTGACTGATGCATTCTCATCCCCAGCAATCACCATGCTGACTTCCTTTCACTCTCCTTCAAGTCCTGATTCTATGGCAAGCACTGCCTCTGTGTTTCTAGCACAGTCTCCTTCATAACACTTGCACAACTCTTTTAGCTGTGCCCTTTAGATTCTACGGTAGGCTTTCTCCTTTTTGCACTGTTCTGCTCTTCTAGAGTAGAGCAGGAATGCACTGGATTTCTTGGCCTTTATTACTTAAGTCTTTCAAGCTGAAAATTAAGATCTGAGGTCTTGAGAGGACCTTTTTTTTGACAGAAACTTTTTTTCAACTGATAGTAACTATAAAATGATGAAATGTAACCTCTTCAAAACAGAACTAAGTTTAAGTTATGCTGGTAGCACACATGGTATAGGACCGCATGTGAGATTTTTAATCCATCAGTTCTCACACAGGACTGCAATCCTCATGCATTTGGGTAAACATCACAAAATGCAAAACTCCCCCAGCCAATGACTGCTGTAGAAACAAGATATTCCAATAGAGACAGAGACAAGGTGTCTCCCTTCATGCTTTTCTATATCAGCATCAGTTTACAGGCTGAAATAAATTAGAAGTGCAGCTCCTACCCATTCTAAACAGGAAACAAAAAAATAACAGCTAGTAAAATAAATCTCTACCAAGAAATACACAGAGAAATCCTTGGGGAATAAGGCAAAACTATTAGTTAAGACTGCAGCAGCAGATAAATCACCTTGGATTAGTTGCTATAATATTGCCAACTCTTTGTTTTCTTTTTTTTTCCAATGCACTAGTAGACCCTAGATTAGACCCATCAAGTTTAATTGCATTCATCTCCCCCAAAGACACTCAGCTGTGCTCTTTCACGAAGGGGTTGCCACTTAAATCAAGCCAGTCTGATACATGCAGTAAGCTCACGGCCACTACAACACAATCTCAGAGATAAAGGGCTGCTAATGTTCTCAACACTTTATCAGCCTGCTGAGGGAGTGAGGGAAGGCATGTGCCACCTCCTTGGTACTTTGTCTTCCTTTTGCTCCACTCCACTTGTTTCACACTATACAACCACATGAAATCCTTTGATGTAGAGAGCATTTTTTCATTCTGTAATACACCAGGGCTACACAAACAGTAATACTGTGTATGCTATTTATGTATGTTATAATATTTATAGTACTGTATTAATGTAGATTTTCTTTTTCTTCCCTAAACAAACACAACCATTTATGACTTTACAGAAAGAAGGAATACATCTCAAAACGGATGAAATAAAAACATTTCAGAGCATTGATGAAGAAAGAAGCCCCCATTCAGCAGCAATAACCACTGTAACAGCTTTGCAACTGCAGCTTCCAAAATCTGTGTTTTTCACACAAATCTAGATTCTAAAATGATGAGCACTTTAAAGATTGTGATACATATCCAAAAGGTTTAAAAAGAGGTTTAAATGAAGCTAGGTGCAAACGTCAGTGGGAATTACCATTTCGCTCATCTACAGTGTTAGTGAGATTTACAGAGGCATCCTCCAGCACCTTAGCACATATAAAGCTAATCACACATGGTGGCACCACTCTAGGAAAGTTAGCATTACCATCACACTTTTGGCAGGAAATGTGCATGCTTTAGTATTAGTAGTTTTCTATGTTTCTATGCTTTGCCATCAGTCGCATGTCTGATCTTTAGTAAGACCTATCAGACAACTCAATTAACTTGGTGTGACTCTGCTGTAGGGATAAAATTTGTAATGGGGATGTGGCACTTTTCTATCTCTGGAAAAATTCAGATTTGTAATGTTTCATGAGGACTCTGTAACCTCTACTGATTACTGTTAATAAAATAGAACTAATAAAGTGTTAAAAGAATAAGAGGCAGTAGACAGGAGAAGCCTTAAGACAACATCACTCAATCTGCTCTAAATAATCTAGATTTTGGGTGGTTCTCCCATTCACATTATTAACTCTTTTGATCCCTTTCCACTTACTGCAAGAAAACGAAGTTTTCATTTAACATCAAATACTAAACAGAAGCTAAACCTATATTTACAATTCTTAAGAGCAGTATCTACTTGGACCTTTGGCTTTGTTAGCAATAAATGTTCTTTAAAAGATCAACAATATATGGTCATTGTTGTTATTGTTGCATTTTTTGTTTTGATTTTTTACCAAATAATTACCTTCACCTCCCTGGAACCCAGCCTTTAGTTGGCAAACTTCATTTGATTCAGAAACAATGAAACTTCAACAACATTCAGTAGTTTTACACCTATCCATGCACTTTGAAATCAGCCAATTGTTCAAGTCACTCACTCCCATTCTGCTTTTGGCAGCTTTTATTTCATGTGTTCCTTATTTCAGCCCTGGCATATGCTACTACCACTGCCTGCACACACTCTCTCTACCCCTTTGCCAAAGCCTATGTTTTAAAAGATCTTTATTGAAACAGAAAGCCCCCAGCAAGCATTTAAGCACCCACTGCTACCCTGCGTGACTTGTCAATGCACTGCCGCTTGCCCACAGCAGATGGACACTCCTCAGGGCAGGGATTTCTTCTTCCCATTCCCAAAGCATCTTATCACATTGGGGTTGACATACCAAAAATGATGACTCACGAACCTTTGTTGAATCCATTCTTCCTTCGCTTCTACAGAACAAATGGGGGGAAGGGGAAGAAAGGTTGAAAATTAAATAGATTTGCAATACGATGGCACGTGACATTAATTTTTTAGCAAGCCTGCTGTACTAAACTTTTTCACAGGTTCATCACCTAGGTTGAGCATAAAAGCAGAACACCATGGGAAAGTTTCTCTAGTAGCCTGTGTGCACTTTGATGGCCACCACAATATTCAAACGCATACCTAACTAAAACAGACACCTTCACTTCTCTAGGACTTCTCTAGGTCACATTCACCAGTTCAGCTCCACAGTCAGCCTTTGTTCAGTGATCGCTTCCTTTGCCACTGCTTTTCATGTGCTCTAAGTTTTATTTCACCTCTCCTTTTGTCCTGCATGTCTTCTACACCAATATATTTCAAAATAAAAAAAACCCCGAGCAATTACACATGATCTACCTTAAGTGATTGGACACAGTGCAGTATTCACCAATTTCTATAATTCCAAGTGTCATAACTGTTCATATTTTGAAAACAAACAAAATGACAAATCCCAAATCTGTAATATTTCTTTCCAAGACAAATGAATGCTCACGGGTGCGTACACAGATGAAAATTGTTCTTATTTCTGAAAATACAATGCAACAGCACAATTCATTATTATCATTACTTGCTGGAACAAGAAAGAAGACAACATCCAACACGAAGTATTGGGAAGAATGGGCAGTCGAAAAATTTCCACACAAAAATTATCTCCGTAAGCAATCACAAAGAAATGTTACTCCCCAAACTTGTTATTGGGCCTGTGGCAGGCTAAGGTGCTCTCCAGGACAAGAGGGACCAAGAAGAATTAATTCTGTATGGTCTCAAATGCTGAAAATGGGATCTTAAATATTGTTTTGATACTAACTATTCTATCTACAGTTAGAAACCTAGTATTAAAAATCTGTTGCCATCCACAGCCTAACTAGCTTAAATTTCTGAACAAATTGATCTAAACAGAGACGAAAATTGTACTTTAGCATGCAGCAAATATTTTTTTTCAAAATTTCAAAATATATTTTTTGAAAAACAATCTATCCTAGTATAAAGACAAGTTTTAGAATACATTTCTTTCATAAAATCTACAGGATAAAAAGCAAATCTTATATCAATAAGTAACATGAAAATCAGGCAATGGACAATTTTTAGAGATTAATTTCTGAGTCAAATGCAGGGAAGGCAGGTAGCACTCGGCTACAGCAGATTTTTCTTGGTAGCAACAACTAGCCAGCCATCCAGCATGCACATTGCTTCAGAAAAGCTACAGCAGCTACACACACCAATGAGCATGAGAGGGTAAGACGTGACTCAGATTTTGTTAACACATGCAAAAACATATTAAAATTAATTGGAGTCACTTCAGGAGGCAAAAAACTTCACAAATTAATTATCATGTATGTATATTTTGGGTAAAGTTGACTTCTTTATAGATAATATTTTGCCCAATTTGCCTGTCAGGAATCTCAAAATGTTTGTATTGATAATGACTTACTAACATAAATCAAAATTTGCAAGAAATATTTCACAACTATTTCCATTCTGTCAGTTGCTCTTGCACATCTTAAAATGCCAGAAATACCCAATTACTTTTGATCACTTCCAGCTCAGTAAAGTCTTATTTCCCCTTGCTGATTTCTCCTTGTAA